TAACTGGTAAAAGATGGTACACTAAAGTAGCTTCTACTTGGTTAAAGACAGTAAACAATAAGTAGCTTTTAATTGGTTAAAGACAGTAAAGTGCACAGACAGTACGTTCAGGAGCTGCTAACACTGTGCCTGGTGCTGAACTCACACCAGAGTCTCACCTGATCGTAGTTCCCAGTGAATTTGAAGGCCTGCACCTCGAAGTTGAAGGAAGTCGGATCAGACGGGTGAACTTTAACAGTTTCATCCTCGTTACACCTGAAAAAAATGAAGATCATCGATCAGTTGAGATTTTCTGTTTTTTTCTGTCTTGATCTCCTCATTTCCTGTTTTGAAATCATAACTCTCCTCTTGTTTCTGGTCACTTCCTCTCGTGCCACCAGTCTGTCCTCCCTAATTCCTGGTTCCTGAAAGACGACCCTCATTGCTAGAAGCCCACCCTCATTGCTAAAAGACGAACCTCCTTGCTATAAGATGAGCCTCATTGCTAGAAGACGGCAATCATTGCTAGAAAACTGTCCCTTATCCCGGTTCCTGGGAGTGAGTGTCCACTCACCCGTTCCTGATGAGGCTGTAAAACATGGCGTTGTCTGGGTTGTCGTCTGGCGTCGCTTTGCAGGACTCCACAAACAGCTTCACGTTGGGGAGCTCGGACTGAGCCTGGATGCCCATGTAGACCATCTGCAGCAGCTTGACCTCCACCGGGTAGGCGCTGGCCTCCACCTTCTGAGAGAAGTTGCTGTCCTTGAAGATCTCAAAGCTGTAGCCGAAGCTGCCGAAGCTAGACTCAGTGAAGATGTAGTCAGATTTCTTGAGGTTGTAGTAGCTGGAAATGCTGATGGTTTTGGGGAACTCGCAGGAGAAGTCGATTCTGACCGTCTCCCTGCGGATGATGACCTCGTTGGGCATCTCAAAGGAGTTGATCTCGTTCTTGAAGACGATGAAGTCACCTTTATCCTATAGATATAGGACATATGTAAAAGGCTGGGCATCAATCCAAAACTTTCCATATCAATAGATTCACTTCAATATCGGTTCCTGAACGGTACTTTTTTCGATACCAATTTTATAGGTTATAAGATTACAAAAAGCAAATTACATTACACATTGTACAAGTCTTCAGTTTTATTGTTCATCTTTGGTAAATTTCCACTCCAAGCCGTCAACAAATCATTTTCAGTGCAAAAGAAAAACTTGCAAACAAGTTAGAGATCACTCTAATGTTCTGCTACATGCCGAGGAGCTTTTCACTTAGCGGTTTTTCTTCAGAAAAATCAACATGATCTGTTTTCCAGGTTTGACAGCATTGATAGCACTGACATATAGATAGCGTTGATATCACTGTCATCGTGATAGCCTTGATAGCATTGATAGCATTGACAGAATTTAAAGCATTGATAGTATTGGCATAGTGATAGCATTGATAGCAATGATAGCATTGCTGGCATTGCAAGCGCTGATAATGTTGGCATAGTGATAGCATTGATAGTATTGCAGTTCGCTCTTCTTGCGGTCAAACACGGAGCACCCTCTGCTCTTAAACTGATTCCTACACAGCCGGTGTAGAAATCAGATTAGTCGTCTTTCCAGCTTTAGCCATCAGGACTTTTCTGCATATATTGGCATCAAACTTGCTGAAAATGGAGCCGAGCTTTTGACCTTGTTGGCATTTTTTAACTGTCTCAACGACACACAACTACAGCTCACAACACAGATACACATGAACCCCCAAAAATTGATTATTGATCACATGATTAACCTCTGGGCACCAAAAGACGAGACATGTTTCAGTGCAACCGAAGCATGCCTCGTGATTTCCCACCCATCTCTCTCTCTCTCTACATATATATATATATATAAATATAATAGAGAGGAAGATGTCCCCTTTGCTGTGTTCAACTTGTCTGAGCTGATTACCTCAAATTTGGTGCCGCAGGCGCTGAAGGACATGGTGCCCAAGATGTGGGTGTCGTTGGAGGTCAGCGAGCACGAAGGGTCTCTCAGTTTGAGGAAGTTCTCATCGATGTTGGGCATGGACGCTTTTTCAAGAGCCACCATCATCTTGTTCGAGGAGCAAATAACCGTGGCCTTTCCTACAGATCGGTTCAAACACCATGAAATCCAAATGATTATTACATTTGTGGAGTTTGGGGTGGTTTTATGCAGGATAAACAAGCTAGAAAATATATTTTGTGGATTTAAACATTACAAAAGCTCGTAAAGTATTTAGCTAACAGCATCTGGAAGAAATCCAGGTGAGGGTGTCAGGATTGGTTATAAAAGCAGCTTCCACCACTTTGAGCCAAACTCCATCAGAAAATCACCAACAAGTCAGAAACTCTGTCTCAGAGTCAGAGCTGGAAAACATGAAGAAGTAAAAGCTCCTGTTCCAGAAAAGTCCCCCAGAGCCCCGAAGCGGAAGTTCAGAGCAGGACATGAAGCCCGGAACAGAAACGCTGAGGATTAACAGAAGAGTTTGGAACCTTATTGGAGGAAAAAGCTCAAATTTTCTGTCAAACTGAGACAAAAACCCTGAAAACTTTCCCCAGGATGGAGCTTCATCATTTCAGCTCCTGTGAAAAAAGCTGACTGCAGACTAACAGGACATTAAATCAGAGAAAGAAAAGCTGGAAAAACCACCAGAAAAAGGCCTTTTTAAGGTCCATCAGGTCCAGAAAAGACCTTTTAGGATCCATCAGGTCCAGAAAAAGGCCTGGAAACCCATTTGCATCAAAACCAAGACCTGAAGCAGAAACCAGCTCTGAGCAGCTCTCAGAGGACAGAAACTCAGAGGACTCCAGTTCTGGGCTCTGGGAGTCCAGGTTCCAGCTGCTTGGGGGGGAAAACTGGATCTACAGAGAGGAGAACCAGCATTCAGCTGTTTTTAGAGACTCGTGCTGCCATCATGTGGATCTGGACTCAGATCCTCTGAAAGCTGCAGCATCCGGTGTCCTGAGCTCCCAAAGGGGGAAAGAGTGTCTTTACAGGAAGCTGATGGAAGAAACCGGACTCTGGGTCCAGTTCTACTGAGCAGAGACAGCTCCAGGAACTGGATTTGGTTTCTCTGAATACAGAGGAGCCAGTCAGAGAGGACAGCGATGAACGGATGAGCCAACCTTGAGTGATGGTCGCTCTGGTCACAACGACGACGACACACCTCATCTCTGATTGGCTGACAAACAAAACACAGGAAACACATTTAAGTTGGTATAATAATAATAATAATAATAATAATAATAATAATAATAATAATAAT